AAGGGGCAAAAATATAAATTCATAAGTCCCCCCGTTTCATTGTTTTTACCTTCATTTTTTTTTTAACTACTGCTAAAAAACCCCCGAAACGCAGCCATTTTTTTTAATTATCAGTAAAAAAAAAATGGATTTACTAGCTGCCGATGACCGGCAAATACGAAACCCTAACGACTTTCCTCTTCATCTAATTCCATTCCCACCCACCGGAAACTTTGATATCTCCACTTCAGCGGCGGCGGTTGTTGGGTCGAGTGATGTTGACAGCTTGCTTCCACAGAAGCTCCGTCCTATTAGAGGAAATGGCCGGGTTCCTTCGGGTTATGCAGAGGACGGTAGAGAGAAGCTGTGGGGTTTTGTTAGTGGAGAAGCGAGTGACGTAGCTGTTAATGGTGGTGGTGGACTCGGGTTGGGTTCAGTTGAAGGTTTTCTTGAAGATGAATTTAGGCAAGTTTAGATTTTTTTTAAAAAATTATTTATTAATTATCTGTTAGCTAATTAAGTTATAATTTTTTTTTTGATTTTTAAGAGATTTTAGCTCAAGCTTTTTTTTCCTCTGCATAAGTGGGTTTTTTTATAAATAATTTGTTCAAGAATTTATAATGTTAATTAAATTGAATTTTTTTAGAAATTAAGAAAAGGGTTATGGTGATTTTAAGGTAGATTTGCTAAGGATGTAATGTTGTATGTTAAAACAGCTTGACCTTTCTAATTAAGGTAGGAAAGTGGCAATGTGTCTTGTTGTATGTAATGGTGATTAGTATGATGTTTCATTTGGGAGTGTGATTGTGTCTGCAATTGTTTTTGTTCGTTTTATCATGTGTGGGATATTGTTTTTGTTCGTTTTATCATGTGTGGGATCGAGAATTACTGTGATGGTACAGATGATTGGCTCTTTTATAAGTTGAGGGACAGCTTGAATCAAGACTGGATCATGTTGATGTAGTAGTAGTGTAGATTGACAAATGTGTTCTTTGGAAACCAAGTTAATGTGGTTTCCTTTGTTTTCAGCTTATGCTCGTGTGATGGAAATGCTGATGATTCGTCAGTTGGTGCAGGAGAATCTGTTGGTCAGAAGAGAAAGAGGAGATCGAAGCGAAAGATTGAGAAGTTTTTGGAGAGTTTGGTGATGAAAGTGATGGAGAAGCAAGAGGAGATGCATAAACAGTTGGTAGAGATGATAGAGAGTAGTGAAAGGGAGACGATGATAAGAGAAGAAGCTTGGAAACAGCAGGCGATGGAAAGGATGGAAAGGGATAGTGAGGCTAGGGCACAAGAGACTACTCGTAACCTTGCTCTCATTTCCTTCATCCAGAACATGACGGGTCATGTTATTGAAGTCTCAAATGGAGGCAATGCTCCAACTCAAAATCATTTTCAAGTGTGACCAAAGTAATAGAAGATGGCTGGAAGCTGAGATGCAAGTACTTATAACACTTCGAGCTGCTTGGGAACAACAGTTGCAAGTTACAGGCTCCAAAGGGACCAATATTTGGGATGCAATATCTGATGGAATGTGCAATATGGGTTACAACTGTACCGCAAAGAACTGCAAAGAGAAATGGGAAAACATCAACAAGCACTTCAAAAAGTCAGTGGGAAGTGTGGTGAAAAAGCCATTTGAAAATATTACAGTGAGCCCTTGTTTTCACGAATTGGATGTCTTATACAATAATGGATTGTTAATCTGGGAAACGGCTCTACCAATACAGGCAATCAAGCTAAATGCACTCTTGGTAAAGGTTGAAATGCTCAAACCATTTCAAGTCTTTGTTTTCTCGAATCTTACCTTGACGTGACTTCTGGTCCATTTATGTGTCTGTATTAACTTAGGGTAGAACTCCTTGAACTGTTGTTGGCTGTTTCTGCATTAGCTATGCATTGCAGGGGGGGAATTTGATCGTACCAATTGTTCTTGCAATTACAGTAGATAGAAAAAGGTGAAATTTGGCCATTAGTTTCCTTGTTTCATTTTCCTTTTTCAAATCCTTATTCTATGAGTATTGTGGTTTCTTTAGCTTTCAGGGAGATTCTTTTTGCTGAATAGGGTTGTGTTTTGATCTTCATGGCAAATAGATCTTCCATGCTATATTCAGGGGTGATAAAATTTTTGAATTTTTCATATGTTTTAAACCAGAACCGAAGAGGCTTTTATCTTCTTAATGCTAGTTATATGTGCAGTTATTACATTAGCCCAAGCCTACAGATTAACCCTAGTCAATCAAAACGATGATGTTTTGAAAAAAAAAATTAAAGTTAAATTAGGTTTTGACTGATCAACTTCTACTTGGTTTATGTCCTGGATTAACCCACCAGGTAATCCCACCACTTCTGCTTGGTTTATTTTTTTAACGTGACCTGCGCCACGTCCCGGATTAACGCACCACGTAATCCCACCAGATCAGGGAACACCGATATCAAAATCTGCATCAGCATTCTATGTCTTGCCTCTTGACTGCATAGAATATGATGAACAAAGACAATTAACACATCAAAACCTCATCCATTATTCAATAATAAAAACGTTTAACAAAATGCTATTGTTAACCAAGTGTGTTGATCAACTGCTATCACAAAACGCCATAAAAGGAGGGGAAATGTCAAGAGAAGAAAAATTGCATCATAGACAATGCACAAGAATAGTCACCAATCTCATCAAATGCTGGAATGGTTCTTCACCCTTCATGGCTGCTCAAGTCTCTAAAAAGTCGAGCAGCTAAATAAACTAGAATGTGACGAAATTCCTCATGGCAAACCAGCAGCATCACCACACACACAGTGCAAGGACAAAAGAATACAAGAGGGTGAGGAGAGGAATGAGTGAAAATAGAAAAATCAATATCTCAGACGGTCCTAGGCCTTCTGGCTGCTGCATATAATATGGAAATACAAGGATGAATGAATTGTCAGCAAGGCCATGAGAAACAGAGAAAAGATTCTAGGACCATTAATCATGCCAACCACAAAGAAGAAAAGAGACACTCAAGTCTGGTTATACTGATGAGAGGGTTACAAATCTAAGATTTAATTCACACTTGGGTTATATTTTGACCAGCAGTAATGTATATTAGCACAGGCAAAAATAAGCTGCAGACAAAATTTCCAAATTATTCACCTATCATGATTCAAGCTCCAATTATCTTTGAAGGATTACTCTAACCCTAATCAGCATTAAACACATTTGTTTGTTTTCCGTAAAATATTTTAGAATTTTTTTTGAATATTCTACTTTTGTTTCCGGTAAAATATTTTACATAAAACTTTTTTAATATACAATATTTTGCATTTAATCTTTGAACTTAGTTTATTTATACAAAAATATTTTTAACCTGTAAGTTTTGTAAAATATTTTACACACAGAAATTCATTAATTATATCACTCTATCCCCACTACTCCATCTCCACCGCCTCCATCATTGCCACTTCCAAGACATATTATCATCATCATTCTATTACCATCATATTTTTTAAATTATTATATACCAAACATTATAAAAACTTTTTCGTGTAAAATATTTCCATGTAAGCAAACTATGATAGTAATTATGACAAATTGAACAAAATGAGGAAGTCCACACAGGTAAAAACCAGGCCACGCATCAACCTGATATTAAACTTGCAACATTCAGTCTGAAATGACATGGCTCTAGCAAAATCATAGTTTCTTGTAATTACATGAACCAATACATGAAGAACGACACTGTTTTCTGACGTGAAAATGGGCAGAAATATAAAGTGATCTCTGATACATAGACATTTATGCATATACAACCCATTTTGGTTTGCAAAAGAAACACCGATTGAACTTAGAAATGCGAGACCTCTATTGAGCTGAATTTCATCACTTCCGTGGAAAGAATGCACCGGAAAGATAAATTCTCAAAGCAGAAGTTATCAGTGCTGTGACTGATATCCACATCACCATTTAAGTTCTTGATGTTGATTTATCAACTAGCCTTTTCACTTCTGCATAACCATATTCTGAGGGCAAGACAAGCAAGGATGCTACACCTTTTACACCATGCGTCTTAATTTCACATAGAGCCAGTTTCTCCCAACTGTACAGAATCTTGAGACTCTGTAGTAGAACAAAAGATTATCTACTAAGTGTTCGATCTGATTAAGGAAGAAAGCAAGAATACTTGATACACATTCTGAAATAATCAGAAGAACTTTTTGTCATTCAGGAAGGAAAGGAGTTCATTGGTAGCAATAAAAGACAGGAAACCTGCACAGAAAGAATGCCACCTATATGAGACCATTAGCAGTAACAGTAAAACAAAACTTTCCATAGCGTTCTGGTTTTCATCAATTACTTTTATGAATTTATCACAAGCCATGTCCAACAGAAATCAGCTGAAAGGTCGGTATTCAGAAAGAATCTCACGAAATCTATTCAACAATTGGTGGGCATCGGACATTAACAGTAGACATGAATATATGAGCAGAAAGAGTTAGAGCCACTTATACCAAGAAGATAGAAGATTATTTCAGAAGTAGCGATGCGTAGACAACAGACATGAATATAATATCTCACCTAGGGTGCCAAAACTTCAGATATATTAAGTAGGATCCATCATCCATGCCAGGCTCTTTCTGACTTAAAAGAGTCTGATGAAGAGATTACTGAAAAGAGAAAACTATATGTACTTTAGTTGTGTGTGCTTCATAGTCCCCTCTGCTTCATCCACAAGGACCATTTAACAGCCTCCAAGTATTTATCATTCTTCTGCAATGTAGTAATCAGATTGGTGTAGGTTATCTTATCAGGTTCTACCCCATTTTGCCTCATTTCCTTGACCAAACCCACAGCATCTTCAACCATTCCAGCGATTCCATATGCCTTTATCAGTGTATTGTAGCTACACAAATCAGGTCCCAGCCCACATTCTCTCAGTTCTGTGAGCACACCTGCAACTTCATCAATCCACCCTAGCTCTCCATAGATATTCATCATAATGTTGTATGTATAATGGTCAGCAGTACAGCTTGAATTCTTCATTCTCTGCAAGACACTTCTAAAACTCTCCATCTGACCTTCTTTCCCGTAGGCATCCAACACACAGTTGTAGGCTTCGAGGGAAACTGAAAAACCATCAAATTGCATAGTGTGTATGGTTGATGCCATATTTTTGAAGTCTCTTTTGCGTCCATAAGCAGCTATAATGGTATTGTAAGAGATTACATCAACCAATCCTCGTTTTCTAGCCATCATGAACAGTTCCCTAGCTTTATTGAAAAGCTTAGCCTTTGCATAAACGTCAAGCATGACATTGAAGGTAATGGTATTAGGATCAAAACCACGCTGAAGCATCTCATTGAAAAGTCTGGAAAGTTCACCAACTGGCAGAGCACGAGCACAGCAGTTTATGAGGCAATTATACAACTCCTGATCCCAAACAACTCCACTCTTCAAGATTTTGAAATACAGATCATTTAACTTATCCATCATTCCACACTGTTGGTAAATGCGAAGCATGTCCCGGAACAGATAAATGTCTGGAACCATGTCCTTTTCCTTCTCCATTGTTTCTAGAACAGAACAAGCATCCTTCAAAGATCCAGCTTTGACATACATTCTTACGACAATGCTGAAAGCAATCACATCTAAACCAATTCCAGAAGATTTTAACTTCATATAAAGTTTTTCCCCCTCATTAAATTGACCCATAGTGGTGTAAATGTCAATCATGGTACACGAGATGTGCAAATTTGGTCTATCATCAGATTTGGGCATCAAAGAGTATATCTTAACAGCACTGTCAAGATGGCCCAGCTCCTTGCATGAGCAGATTAACAAATGATACAAGTTATCCTCAAAAACTGGATCATTCCATTTTTTGTCACCCAACAATTTTATAGCCTCATCAACCAACAGGTTTTTTACATAAGCAATGACAAGAATGGAGCATGAATTCTGGTTAACGGTAACATGTTGATAGAAGGAACCTTTCAAAAGAAAAGGAATTTTATCAATCCTTCCGACCTTCTCATATGCTTTCAAAAGAGTTCCAAGGATTGAGGAATACTGGCACCCTATCTTCAGCATATCATCAAGAGTTCTGCAAGCACCTTCTTCATCCCCATGCTCAGCTTGCAAATTTATTAGCGTGTACAAGTTGGATGAGTTAGGCTTGAATCCCAGCCGCTTGAGCTCCTTATAGTACCATTCTGCCTCCTTATAATTGCCAACACGACCCCAACCTTCAATCATGGAACGGTAGGTTGTATCATCAGGCTCTAATCCAGCATTTTGGATGCCTGAGAACAGCCGTTGAGCGGCAACCATATTGGATGCCTTTCCGTAACCAGTGATCAATATATTGTATGCAACAATAGTAGGGGAAAACTTGGCTTCTTGCATTGAAACCAGCAACTGCTCGGCCTTCTCTAACTTCCCTTGCTGACTATAAGCATTAAGCAAAACCAACCAATTCTCCAAATTTAACACCACCTTATCGTCTCTCATCAAACCGATAACCTCTTCTGCCTTGTCATACAAACTCAAACGGGTATAAATAGTGATCATTGCCGAGTATGCGGACTGACATATTATCCCAAAACTCCTCATTTGAGCAAAAGAAAATTCTGCCTCCTCAACATTCCAACCCTTTTGGTAAAGCCCCATTACCATACCAAAAGTAGCGACATTTGGCTGAACCCCAAGCTCCAACATCATCCTAAACCATTTCCCACTCAACTCCACACTCCCCCGTTTAGAACACGAGTAAATAAGTGTGTTAAAGACTCTACAATCCAGCTCAGAACCAAAACTCTCCCTCATTTCCCTAATCATCCTCTCAGCAGTATCCCAATCCTCCCTCCTACCCAACACTCGAAAAACAACATTGAAAGCACTAACATTCTTTTCAAGCTTCCCATTACTCCTCATCCACTCAAAAAACCTCAAAGTTTTATCATCACTGGTACCCTTCTCGAGCCGTTTCAAAACATCATTACATTGCTCTAAGCTCATATTAGACCCAACAACAGAGTAATTAACATCCAACTCACCATCATACACAAAAAAGCCCTCCCTTTCTAGCTTGCTACCATTCCTTTTACAACTAAACTTAAAACCCACTTCCCTCTTAGTCCCTTTCTTAGCACCCTTGTACTTAATTTTTCTCTCATGTTCAAAATCCAGGTCCTTTTGTTCATTCTCACTAACCAAACCCTCTGAAGTTGATAAAAAAGGGTCCTTTTCAGACAATTCACTTTCGATTCTAGACACCTTAACAACACTAAATCTACTCAAAGATGTGATCAAATGAATACAACTAGAAATGGAAAAAAGTGTAGAATTGCCAGGGAAATGAAGTGGGTTTGTAGAGAAATTTGACTTGTTTGAATAAAATGAGTCTAAAGAAGTTGGTGGTAATCTAAATGATGCCATGGCAATAGTTCAATGAACAGCTAAATCAAGAAAGATAGATTTTTTTTAGTAGAAGAGTTATGAGTGGCATACCTTGGTGGATGTAAAGTGGGGCAGGTGAGAGGGATAACGGAAATTGAGGCAGTGGAGGCAAATACCTTCCTTTTCATTATTTGTGTTGGCTTCTTCTATATGGAAGTTAAAGGACTAAATTTTATTCTCATGTAAACATTTGGGACCGAAATAAAAATTTGCCTATTATCGAGGCAGCCGTGATTGGGACCGAAATAAAAATTTGCCTATTATCAAGGCAGCCGTGATCTATTTTTTTTGTTTGTTTTATTTTTTTTAAAAGAAAATTAGTGGCCAGGCCTAGAAGGGCTTGTTTGAGGAACTTTAGTGGGTGAACCAGATATAATATATGTTTAATATTGTAATATAAAGTAATTTTTGCTTGAAAATATAATAAAATAATTTTTTTAATTTTTCATATTAATATATTAAAATTATTAAAAAACAATAAAAAAATTAATTTAATATTTTTATGTCAAATACAATTTAAAATAAAATTAGTTGATTTAATGTTAAAACTAATTCAATTTAAAACTTATCATCAAGAGTTTTTCAAGACATATCAATTCAAGTTGGGTTTAACAATTATATTCTTCATAAAACCATAAAAAAATTCTGCAAAATATTAATCTGCATGATGTTGCTGTAAGATTAAGACCAAAATCTAGTCAATATTCATAATGAATTTTTAACATGTGACATAACAAGAACAGTATCCTTAAATGTTATTGTTTCTATTTGTGTATATACCTTTTCCTTAATTATATTAGAAATATAAATTCTATCTTTATAAGTAAAAATTGATTGAAAGATATCATTCAACAATAAAATAATAACTAAAGTAAAATTGTAAAAATAGACAGAAATTTCTTCTTTTTTAAAAAAAATCATAACAGGAAAAAAGAAGAAGAAAATAAGGAACAATAAATTAATTAATACAAGATGAAAGGAAAATTGGAAACTTGCGTTTCCCTTTGCAATACCATTGAATCGCCCAGTGGCTGAAATGCAAGTGTTGAGGGAGTGTAAGCTGAAAACAACATTAATATCCAAGCAAGAAAGCAAGCTAGCATGCCTGTGCTTGTGGCATACCAATGTTCTGCCATTGACAGCCTAAAATCTTGTTCCTTTCTCTCCGATCCAAGTAAATTTTATTTAAAAACTAGCTATATATAGCTAGTTATGTATAAAGGATTCATGCTTCGTGCACATCGCCCCTTTGCAAAGTGGTCCACTTTTCAGCTCTATAAATATTGACACTTGCCCTTGTCTTTCTTTCAAATATTTCACTTCCAGGAAGAAAAAAGGAAGAAGTTCTTCTACTAATCGAGAAAAAAAAGAGCTTTAATTTCCACAAAGAAATTAATGGACCGTAGAGGAGGCTTTCATGGGTACCGCGAGCTCCTCAACACAAGCTCAGGTAAGCTTAATCTTATCATACAACACAAGCTCAGGTAAGCTTAATCTTATCGTACAAGAAGAGAAGTAGTGCTATAAGAAATCAAGTTCAAACCTACTTTAAAATTAAGGCAATGAAGATAGATTATTATTATAAAGAGAAATGCTTTTCCATGATTTTTTAATTAATTTCATGTTCATAGGCATCATCTTCTCTTGCATGCAAATTAAGAAATGCTATAAATTTTCTATCTCTTCCCCTCTAGACAAGAAGATATGTTGCATTGATTCTATGCATTGTTATGTATTTTATTTCTTTCTTTTTTTTTACATGAATTATTGATTTATCATGATGACATGCAAACACTATCTCTCAACGGCTTTGATGTCCATTAATGTATGCATAGATATTATCATATTTTTCTCAATCTTCTGCGTGTATTGATCTGTAACAATATCTGTTTAAGTAAGCTAGATAGTAATGCCCCCCATGGTCGACAAGGTATCTTCGGCTCGTGATGATGATGATGATGAAAATAGTTATAGCAAACAATGGTAAACGCATAGCATATGTACAAGTGGCAATCCTCGTTCATGCAATATATGAAACAAGTGGCATCCATGCATTCTTTCTCAGGATTCAAAACGCTTCCTGCCTCTGTCTCTGTCCACTTTATGATCTCGACAATAAACTCTCTTGTCTTTTGATAGGGTTGGTTTGGAAAGTCCACCAGTTAGATGAAAATATGGAAAAAGATTTTTTGTTTTTAATTTTTAGGAAAAAAAATAATTGCCTTTCCTGTCATCAGAGATCAACATGAGGCTAACTGCTGAGATCAACCACAGCAGCAGCAGCAACAATAGCAACATCAATGTTCATGCAACCACAGATGACATTAATGAATGTAGTACTGTAAGAGAGCAAGACAGGTTCATGCCAATAGCCAATGTTATCAGGATCATGCGCAAGATTCTCCCTTCACATGCAAAAATATCTGATGATGCCAAGGAAACAATCCAAGAATGCGTATCTGAGTACATTAGCTTCATCACTAGTGAAGCCAATGAACGTTGCCAACGCGAGCAACGCAAGACTATAACAGCTGAGGATGTGCTTTATGCAATGAGCAAGCTAGGGTTTGATGACTACATTGAACCCTTGACCATCTATCTTCACCGATACCGTGAACTCGATGGCGAGCGCGGCTCGATGAGATGTGATCCATTGGTGAAGAGTACTAGGAATAACAACAACAATAACAATGTTGATCAGTTTGGAGCACTGGCTGGGGTTGGTGCGTATGCACCAGCATTTCATGCGAGCCATCATCACCATGGGTTCTTTGGTGGGTCTCCTATAGGAGCTGGATATATGAATACGAGGGACGCCAACCCCAATGCTAGTTCCTCCCATGCTGCTGCTTTGGCTAATGTTGAAGCTTTTGCTCAGCATAAATGAGAGACTGAGATCATTAATGCCAGACTAATTAACCACAATTGTAAGGCTAATAACTAGTTGTTTAGTGGGTGAAGAAATGGAGCTAGCTAGAAAGGGAAGATAGCTAGACAGGTTAGAGTTTGGCACTGTGTTATTGTAGGTTTCCTAGTTCAATTCTGTTCAGGAGGTTAGTGCTTAATTGGGAGTTAATTACCATATTTCATTTCTTAATTTCTGTAAGATATTGATGTGATGTGTTGTACAGTTAAGTTTTTTCTCCTTCTTGGCATACCATTTTTCACCCCAATATCTTATATAATATGCTCTTTCAAATGGTATTATATATCAAACTCAATGTCCAGTGGCTAATTAATTCAATGATTTGTTGCCGAATTTTAAATTAAATTACATAGAAATCAACTTGATAAATTAAATAGTTTGATAAGATTTGATCTACTGATATATATTTTAGATTAACTTGGATATTAACAAACCAAACCCATAACTCTTTTTTTTTTTGGTAAGTAAACCAAACCCATAACTCAAACACTAGATTAAGTCATGAATCAAAGTGAATTTAATTAGTTTGCTTTCAAAATAAACTATATAACAAAACTTAACTTATGGTCTGTTTGGTAGTACAATGAGCTGGAATTAAATTTATATTTTATCTTAATTATAAGTTTAAAAATATTTGATTAATTATATTTTACTGGTTTTTTTAAATCTTAATTACAAAAAATTACAATTTATAACTTTTTTTTAACCACTGTAACTGCAAAAATTTGTCACATTGTGAGAATTTTTTTAATTACTAGAACCTAGGTTAAAATTGAAGTAAAATTCAATGAATTCAAAAGAACTTGCATATACAAGTCTTGTGAAGAGCAATCTCACGATATTTTAAATGATATTATTACTATGATTAAGTAATTCCACGAACGAAGATGATATATGAGAACTGCAAAGAAGATGCAGGGGCCACCACTAAACACTATTTTCAATGATATTTATGATTCAGTAATTCCAAAAAAATGAAGCTTATACCTCTAAGTCAAAATTTGCATTAATATACACCATTTTCAATGATATTTATGATTTAGCAATTCCAAGAAAAATAACGTACCCTAAATCTTCATATTAAATTTTTCATCAATAAAAACCATTAAATGAAAAAAAACAATGGAGTGTAGGTTCCTGTGGGCATAAATTATCAACGGAGGCAAGCATTTGAGAAGGAAAGCCCCCAATAAGGATCGAACCCGCAATCTTTCGCTTACGGAATCACCACACTGCCACCATGCTATGGAAACTAGATGCCCTGAACATGGCCTGTGATCAAAATTCAAGTAGCCTGTCAGGGGGCGAGTGCCTAAATACGGAATGGCAAAGTTTGATAAACGCCATATAGGAGCATAGTGAATGGAAAAGTGAGTCTCTCTCATTGAAGAGATAAATTGACATTTTCAGTCGGAAAAACACGATCACTCTTCTGACATTTTTTCTGGGGGGAGTCTTCTGACAAAGTTAAAATGCCTGCAAAGATTCATACGCCAATCATTCAAGTTAGTTCTACTGGGTGGAACGAACTTCAATGCATCGCCTTTTTCTTATCAGACGGATCATCTTCGTTCTCCAACTCTTCTCCATCAACTCCCTGGAGTTCTTCTGAATCAGTTGCACCTCTTTTCCTTTGAGGAATTACTTGAAAGAAGGAAGCTTTCCAATCTTTTATTTCCACAAACTTGAGAAGGATCTCTACCACTTGGTTTACAGTAAGTACCTGCACTCGAATGGACAAAAAAGAGCAAAGAGTTAGCAGATAAAGACCATGAATTTTGAGGGCTTGAGGTTCAGTGTTTCCCATTGTCGTTTCTGACGGGTGTAGAAGGACCTTCCTTCCAACCAAGAAGACTCTATAGAGGAAATCAATGGGCCACAAGATGGGGAAAACCCCCTTTCTCGCATTGATACAGGATAATGATCAATGAGCTGTCTTGGTTACTTCAGTCACAACAGCATCAATTTCTGAGTCACAACAGATAAATTTGTATGTTTGTGAATGAACTTTCCTTCTTTTTTTATTGCAAAATGCTCTCTGTAATGAAAGTTCTCATAATAAATCATCTTAATTCCATCCATGGGGGCGATGGCTGGAAAGAGTAGTGACTGCTTCTTGCAGAACTTCACAGATTGAGACCCTGTCCAACACTCTCGGGCAGCTTTGCCAGATATTGGGCAATGAAGAGTAAAACTCCCCCCTAATCACTTAACTCAGCCCTCTTTGTGTGCAACGATGCATAACAGCAGTACCACATTCCTTGTACCAATTTGCATCTACTACATGTTCTACAATCAATGTGATTTCAGTGCACAAGTGACACGAAAAAGAAGAAGCACAAAAGCAATAAAATCCACATTACAGTCAACACTTCAAGTATTGAACGAAGAAAACACAAATGTTGAGACCAAGACCAATCATACCTGAGAACTTGACATCTTCAAGTAACTGCCTATAGGAAGTTTTGCTGTTTGGACTCCTTGCTCACTTGCTTTCTTCATGGTTATGCCTTTCCACCGATTCCGATCTACTAACCCACCAATGATATATATTTTCTTCAGATCGAGTTCATCTAGCACCGTTTCAGAATCTGCTGTAAGATACACCAAATTCTCCTTTTGATCTTGCAATGCATCAATATATGATTGACTTTCCTTCTCAACAATCCATTTATCAAATCCTGGGAGCCTTTGCAATTGGTTCTTCATTTCCCCCCTGCACCCAGTCAACCAGAGGTGACCAGGGGATGTACATCTTCTGTTCACAGCATAACAATACATTATCTGCCAGTATAAATAGTGAGGATATAATCAGTCATTGAAAGAGCATTGGCTCGGATTTGTTAAAAAAAATCCTATGCTTCCCACCAACTATACAATCATGCAACCTCTTCAGCATAATTTTTTAGCACTCAAGTCTCGTAAATGGCACAAACAAATTGTAGCTAAAATTCTAGTATAAATATCCACATCAGAACTTTATTAAAATGCCATAATTTTACTTGTCTGTTGTCTACAATACTCAGACCGGATACAAGGCTGATGCAATCATCTGAAGTCTTAGCAATGTAACCACCAACTTCTTTCAAGTGAAGCTGTGTTGAAACTCAAAACTACAGAAACTAACTCATTTCTCTAAATCCACCATCATAATTCAACCAAGTAAATTCAACTTAACTTTGAGCACCAATTCTTACTTAAAATGAATCTAACATATCCTTAAAACAAATTCACCAATGCCATCTCACACATTACAGCAAAGTTCTTAGCAATGGAATCACAACTCTATTTCCATAAAAAACAGCATCGAACCCACATCAGAATTCAATCATTTCTCCAAACGGGCCATCATAATTTGACCCAAAAACTCAATCCAACAATTATTACCACCAATCCCTACTAAAAACACCAAACACAAACACTATACAGCATGAACCCATTGTTAAAAACAAAAAAGCCCCAAAATTTAACACAAAAAAGCCAAAAACTCACCTGTTGAACAAGACTGTGAATCTCACTGTTAGTCATAAGATCAGCAAACTCAAGATCAATCACTATATTCTGACCAAATTCTTTAGCCCTACTAAGCCTCTGCACTTTGTCTTCTTTCTCTTCTGCCCTCTTCTCCATTCTCTCTTTCCTTAACTCTCTCCTTGACTCTATAAGCTTCAACCTTTCTTCTTCACTTGCACAGCTTGATAGTTTCTCTTCCCATTCTTTTCTCTTCCTCTCTCCTTCTTTCTTTTTTTGCTCCTTCATTTGTGCCTTCTTCTCTGCTTTCTTTGCTTCCCATTTTTGCTGCTTCAGCAGTTTCTTTTGTGCGGTTTTGGAGAGTGGAGTGGACTGTGAATTGGGTTGGCTCTCGAGGGTGTTTTGGTCTTTTTGTTCCGTCTCTTTCTCTTCCTCCATTGAAGTACTGAAGAAAGGGAAGCAAAGGGTTTAGGGTTTGGTTCAGTTGTCAATTAGGCTGCTTTGTTGGGAGACCTGGAAAAACGATGTCGTACTTGGTGGGGATAAATTGATGATTGATGGGCTTGCTGGTTACAAAGGTCAATCTGCCAATTCGGATCTGCATTTATATTTAATTAAATATAAATGTGACGTGGATTAATTTAATAAACTAATTTAGAAATAAGATTTGCTTTTAATTTTTTTTTTAAATATTTAAAACTTCATTATTTTAACTCTTTTTAAGAAAACAGAATAATTCGTCAACCATTCCATATAACCATTTTTAGTGTCATGGTTAGTCATAATTACGAAATAACCAATGATTAATCAATTGTTACCTGAAAAAAAAAGTTCTATAACACATGTAATACACCGCCAAAAGCTAGAGGGGCACTCATGTTATTTTTCGAAAATCCAAGGGTGATTTGGTAGTTTGAGTGCGTCATCAACTAATCACTCCGGTCCATGGGCACATCCTGACTTGTATCCTTGTGTGTTATGACTTTTGCAATAATACCCTCATGAGACATTCTTGATTTTCTAACTTTGATGATTTTACCCCTGTACTTTAAATTTATTTTCAATTATACCCTCCTTCTTGAATCACACCATTGATTGAACGAATGAAGTAGGAGTTTGTTCCAATGAACCAATAGGAGTTTGTATAGAATTTGATGGATGGATTTGAGCTTCAAGGCCATGAATAAGGGCAGGAAGAGAGATTAGGAATATATAATCATCTGTATTTATTGCTTGCATACTTTAATCAAGGCACACATTAAAATGATATTAAATATTTGATTCACTTAGAATACAAAATTATAAAAGTTAAAATCAAAATCTTTGCTCGTTATCAAAATATTTTTATAATTTTCATTTAATTTTTCATTCATAAATAATGATAGAGACGATATAACTTTTATTTCATGTAAAAACTATATGCATGAACCAAATACTTATAATTTATAATCACAAGATTTGATAATTTCTAAAACATATTTTTGTCCGTTTATTATTTAAAAATATCCACCTTATTATCATGCATGTATAAAAATTAAAAATTAAAAATTAAATGTTATCCTTTTGCTCCCAACATTTGGTTTAATGATCATATACTTTTAATTTTTTTATCGTGATCCAAGAATTAGTTGGGATTTCAACCATCTTTAATGGACACAATCCAAACCTTAAATCTTAGAATGCACTAGAAAAGTGAGCCTTCATGAGAATGGGATCTTAGGTCTCACTATCAAGGTATTGATTCATATAGCAGGGTTTCATTTGACCAGATGTGAGAAGCAGAAGGACTACACATGATTTTCTGTCCATCCACAAATGGAAACGATAGAATTACCAAAAGGAAAGAAATAGTTAAATAAGATAAAGCAAAGGGGCATCGCAGCAAAGGAAGTAAAGGAAGAATCCGCACGTACGCGACTGCGAAAGACTTAGATATGTTGATGGATATATACAAGGCAGAAGAAATTCATGTGATTTCACTTACATTTTGAGTTCATTTCGCCTTCTTGTTCGAAAAACGAACACAAAATCAAGACCCCCCCCCTCCCCCCCAAAATAGAAGAAAGATTTAAACACACAAAAAAGAACCACGAATCCTTTTAACCCTTTCGACATGCGTGTGATAGAGAGAGCGGGGGACCAGTAATTTAGTTTTGTCTGAAAAACTGAATCTTGGAAATTAGAAAACGACCAAGTGTTTCTTTTCAAGAGTGAAAAAGAATGGAAGAGGAAAAGAAGCTTGAAGAGAAGTTAAAGGAGGTGGGATCCAAGCTGGAAACACTTCCTTCTACTAAAGATGGTGTTATTAAGCTTTTAAAGGTAACCCCATTTTTTGAATTTGAGCAAAAATCCACTCCTTGTTTGTTTGCTGAGAAAAACCTAGAAAGGGAATGAAAAGAAGTGAAATTTGGTTGGTTTAAGCTGAATTTCTTGCATTAGGGGTTTGTTGCATGGGAAAAATTGTTTGTAAGAAGGGCTTAAAGGTTGGAACTTTTTTTAGGTTAAGCTAGTCAAGTTGTAGAATAACGTAGATTGTTTTAGTGAACCTTTTTGTTTGTTTCGAGTTATAGTTGAGGGAGTTTGTTTGAATTAGGGTTACCTGTGCCACCCTCTCAAAAGGGTTGGCAGGTCGTGAAAAACTTCGCCTGGCCACTTGTTAAATTTGCCTTTTTTGGTTCTAAAGTGTATTCTTTGTTAAATTTGCCTTTTTTGGCTCTAAAGTGTATTCTTTTGAGCTCTTGAGGATTTGGTTTTGATTCTAGGGCTGAATTTCTGACCTAAGCCGAGGAAAGTGGATGCTTAGTGAAACATAAAAGGATGGCAAAGAAAAATTGGAAGCTAAGTAGATTGTGAAGTTTAGATGGGTGAAAGTTTTAGGGGCTACTCAAATTAACATGTCAAATATGAAAGAATTGCCATTCTAACTTTCACATTGTTTGCAAGAGTTGTCATTCTAACTTTCACTTTGTTTGTGTTTTAAATCTTTCGAGATTAAAATGTGTGGCTTTGATGCAAGATTTTGATTATACTGGTTGAATTAGGGTGCCCTGATATTGTTTTTCTTTTGCCTATCAAAAAAGAGAGGAAAAAGAAACTGAATTAGGTATTGAATTTGTGGTGGTGCATGTTGCTCTTGACCTCTAAGCTAATGTATATTAGGATTTTTCAAATGTATTCGACCTTGGTTTGTGTTTGAAATCCATTAATGATTTTGAGTTTTAGGAAACAGTGTTGAGGTTTTTTCTATTCCTAAATGCAACAGTGTACAATCTTAGGGTTCTTGTTTTTATAGTAATGTTGCTGAAAATATTTACTTTATGGATTTACCTGCAGCAAGCTGCTGCTTGTCTTTCTGAGATGGACCAATCACCGCTGGTTTCAGTGTCAGAGTCAACGCAGCCGTTTCTTGATGCAATTGTAAAGCCAGATTTGTTAAAGCATCAAGATAGGGATGTTAAGCTTCTAGTTGCAACCTGTATTTGCGAGATAACCCGGATAACTGCACCTGAAGCTCCTTACAGTGATGAAGTTTTAAAGGTTTGTATGCTTTACCAGCTCAATTAATTAATGGAATTGGTTGATTCACTTTATTACTAATCATAAAAGTTTGAAATTTTAATCCAATCTTGATGGTGTGTATCTATGTGCAGGATATTTTCCACTTGATCGTAGGCACTTTCAGTGGGTTAAGTGATACTGGCAGTCCATCATTTGGAAGGAGAGTTGTTATTTTGGAGACTCTTGCCAAATATAGGTCATGTGTTGTGATGCTGGATCTTGAATGTAATGATCTGGTGAATAAGATGTGCAGTACATTTTTTACTGTCGCCAGGTGTGTTTTTTTTCTTCCATTTTTTTATGTTTTCTGAGACAGAATAAAGGGTTTACATTTATAAGTGCTTCTATCCGACTCTTCTTAATCTTCAAATTCTCTTCTAATTGACACACAAAGATAGTTCATATTTGATGCTGAAGTTTTGAAGCCATATTCTTTTGTTTCACACTTCACCTTTCTCATATACATGTAACAACTTTAGATCTCTGTTCATGTAACTAAATTTCAGACTAGCAGTTTATAATTCCTTTTCATTATTCTTATTTATAATTTTTTGGGAGGGGGAGGGATGTATCATCAATCACTGGAGTGTACATTGAGATGATCAATGAACTGTAAAAGATAACTAGATTCTTTTATTAATTTGTATTACAAGGTTCTAGTAGAAAGTTCATATACGTGTCTCTCTGTGTTGCTTGTTAAGCAAGCGACACGTTGTATCTGCTTATATTAGTTATTCTAAAAATTGTTGCCTTTTTTATTAAATCCATAAAATGAATACTACTTGGATTATTGTATTGCAAGTGTTATGGTTGACTTTTGGGTCTTAACAGCACATGGAGTGGCAGATGTTGCCCCCCCCTCCCAACCCAGCCATGCCCAAACCTTTTGGTTCACAATTGTTTTCCTAAATTGAAGGTTTTTGTTAACTGGGTTTAATAGATATTGATCTGAAAATTTTCACACGTGCAGTGATGATCATCAAGAAAGTGTATTATCTTCAATGCAAACAATAGTGGTTGTTCTCATAGAAGAAAGTGAGGATATCCGAGAGGATCTTCTACTTATTATCTTATCTGTATTAGGTCGTAACAGAAATGTAAGCATCCCTACTCTTTGTTGGTGTATGTGTTCTCTGTGTTTACCATGGACATTTTACTCTACTGCTTGAATGCGTAGTATTTCTTATCATATTGCCTTAAAAGAGAACTCAGTCTGTAGAACTTGTGATTCCAGGATATCTCGATGGCAGGGAGGAAACTTGCCTTGAATGTTATAGAGCATTGTGCAGGAAAACTTGAAGCTGGCATAAAGCAGTTCCTCATATCATCAATGTCAGAAGATAGCAGGTTGGAAAATTGTAAAATCGACTACCATGAAGTTATATATGATATTTACCGTTGCGCTCCTCAGATCCTATCAGGAGCCATTCCATACCTCACAGGAGAGCTGCTGGTAATTACTAATATAGTATACGCTTACTATTGTTTGAAATTTGGCAAGTAGTTTCTTAATACATGAGGTTCAACATCTGCAGACTGACCAGCTAGACACTCGTTTAAAAGCAGTGGGGTTGGTTGGGGATCTATTTGCTTTGCCTGGCTCTGCCATCACAGAAACATTCCAGTCTATCTTTTCCGAGTTTTTGAAAAGATTGAGTGATAGAGTAGTTGCTGTTCGGATGTGTGTCCTTGAACGTGTCAAAAGCTGTCTTTTGTCAAATCCTTTTCGAGCTGAGGCAGCTCAAATCATCTGTAAGTCTGTTGAGTGGCTTTACTAGTTTATATATATGATGCCTAGTTGATTTTGACTTGGTTCACATGTTTTCAGCTGCCCTTTGTGACCGACTGTTGGACTATGATGAAAATGTTCGAAAGCAAGTCGTTGATGTACTCTGTGATGTAGCATGTCATGCCTTGAATTCTGTCCCTGTTGAAACTATAAAACTAGTGGCAGAGCGTCTTCGAGATAAATCTGTGTGTCATGACTTCTATATTTCTCTGTTTCCAAATTATTTCTTAACTTTATACTAGTCATTATGTATAGTGTTCTGATGTGTGGATTTCTTTTCATTTGGAATTTCCAGCAACTTGTTAAAAGATATACTATGGAGAGACTGGCTGAGATATTCAGGGTTTATTGTGTAAAGTCCTCTGATGGATCAGTCAATCCTGGTGAATTTGATTGGATTCCTGGAAGGATTTTGAGATGTTTGTATGACAAGGATTTCAGGCAAGACTTCTTGGCTTTTGTAGTAAGCTGGATATATGTACCTATATAATATATATGTCCCCACACACACACAAACACACACAATCATCCATTTCCCCTTTCATCTGCGCTATTGAAGGTCAGGTCCCTCCTTTGGTGTCTTCATGAGCTGTGCTTATCTTGGACTGCTTGTCTACAATAATATAAACTAATATAAATAACTAGTTGTTTTTTCAGAAAAATTACAACTTTATCTGATGCTACGAAGCTTTCTTGGTATCTCCTTCACAACCAAGTATCTGTTTAAACATGTTTCTAACACAATAATCTGCTCTGCAGATCAGATACAATTGAATTTGTTCTTTGTGGGTCTCTGTTTCCAACTGAATGTGCAGCAGAAGATAGAAGTAAACATTGGGTAAGAGTCTTCTCTGTATTAGACAAAGTTGAGGTGAAAGCTCTTGAGAAGATCCTGGAGCAGAAGCAAAGGTATGTTGAAATTGCTAGATTTTGACAGCAGGCAACTCAAGCTGAAATTTTGTAAATCTGTGTTTATTTGATGGATTGTGCACTGATTTTCAGGGGATTTCCTCTTGGATTGCAGGTTACAGCAAGAGATTTTGAGGTATCTATCACTTAGGCAGATGCGTCAGGTTTGTAAATCTTGGATATTACATTATTCATATTCAGGAAAGAGATTGAATCAAGAAAATGAAAATCACAACAATTGGTTCTCATTCAAATACAGGATGGTGATACTCCTGAGATCCAAAAAAAGATTCTGTTCTGCTTTCGGATTATGTCTCGCTCCTTTGCAGAGCCTGCCAAGGCTGAGGAAAATTTTCATATAGTTGATCAATTGAAAGATGCCAATATCTGGAAGATTTTAACAAATCTACTCGATCCAAGCACTAGCTTCCATCAAGCTTGCACTGGTCGGGTAAGTGATATGATAATAAATTGCTGCAAAAACTTTCTCAATATGTATTGGTTCATCTCTGATTTGTAATCTGACAATTCACTGTTAGTTGCCAATGTTATGAACTGTAGTCCAATCCATGGAGGACCTATCGAGTTAACTAAATTAAGAATGGCCTTGCTTTTCTTAATTATCATTATTATTATTTATGTATTTTTTAATCGATTCTTAGTTGATAGTTGATGAAGCTGTATTTGCATTTTTCTTTGCCTTTTTTCCTTGGAAAATTTCCTTAATAAAGAAATTCCCTTATCTTGCAGGATGATTTACTTAAAATACTTGGCGACAAACACCGACTCCATGATTTTTTGAGCAGTCTTTCCATGAAGTGTTCTTATTTACTTTTCAACAAGGAGCATGTGAAAGAAATCATTTTGGATGTCAACAAACATAATTCAGCTGGAAATATGAATTTTACAAAATCTTGTTTGGATTTACTGGTGGTAAGAACATGTCAATGATAGATCTTTTTGATCTGATGATGAGCTTTTCTAACAACCATGTCGTTATGCTTGTGCATTTGTACTTGTCAAGCATTTTTATGATCTCTATTGCTTTGTTGTAATTGCATCCCCTCATTCACATACTTTTGTGTGGTCATAATTACACCATACAATGATCTTTTTCTTTAGTATGGTTGCTTGTACTATTGCAGCTCTGAAGCCTTATATTTGTCTAGCAATCTCATCTGAATTTTCTTTATTCTTTTTTTGTTTGTTAATATTTTGGCTATTTTGCTTTGAACAAATCAATGCCATTCATATATTTATTTTTATGTGAATTTTCAGATTCTTGCGCGCTTCAGTCCATTGTTGCTTGGTGGGTCCGGGGAAGAGCTTATAAATTTTCTGAAAGATGACAATGAAATAATAAAAGAAGGTGCTTTGCATGTTTTGGCAAAGGCTGGTGGTATGATCCGAGAACAACTAGCGGAGTCATCAAGGTGCGGTGCATGATGTTATTGACATTTAGAGCCATCCTTCTATGTTCATGCTTATACCCTTCTTATTACCTCCCTGCAGTTCAATTGACCTTATGTTGGAGAGGCTTTGCTTAGAGGGTAGCCGAAGGCAGGCCAAGTATGCTGTGCATGCCCTAGCAGCAATAACAAAGGATGATGGGCTCAAATCCCTCTCTGTTTTATACAAGGTTCCATTTTTATCTTTGTGTTGTGTTTGTTTGCATTATCATTAGAGCTTGGGAATGCTCTGTATTTATGTTAATATCAGCATGATATTTCTTTCTCAATTTGCAGAGACTTGTGGACATGCTGGAGGAGAAGACACATTTGCCTGCTGTACTACAATCTCTGGGATGCATTGCACAGACTGCAATGCCAGTTTTTGAAACTAGAGAAAATGAAATTGAAGAATTCATTAAGAGCAAAATTCTAGAACGCAGTAGTGTATGCTTTTGCGAATCCCTAACTTGTGCCGTGATTTGACATGACTTGATAATAATTAGTCTCATCAGAGTGCTTTAATGTTGCAGAAACCAGAAGATAATACAAAAGCATGCTGGGATGACAGAAGTGAACTATGTTTGTTGAAGGTAGTTGGATTTCTCCTGTCAACTTTTGAAGGTTAAATTAATGGCCTGCATATCATTATTTTACTTGATAATATGGTCTGTATACAGATTACACTGTCTTTTCATGAAAATTTTTAGAATATATATTATTACCTTGACAACTTTACAATTGGATTGTACTGAAAAATTGCCTGCAGGTTTATGGACTCAAGACATTGGTCAAGAGCTACTTGCCAGTTAAAGATGTACAACTCCGTCGTGGTATTGACGACCTTCTGGAAATCCTTAGAAACGTACTTATGTTTGGAGAGATATCGAAAGATATTGAATCAAGGTATTATTTTTATTAGTTTATATATGAACTGTTGTTTTCCCCCTTAAGTTTATTATTTTTGCAATTCCTTATGCATTTTTTTCTTCTTATCATACAGTTCAGTTGATAAGGCCCACTTGAGGTTTGCTTCTGCTAAGGCAGTTCTTCGTTTGTCAAAGCATTGGGATCAAAAGATACCTCTTGATCTATTCCACTTAACTTTGAGGACACCAGAGGTGGAGTCTTTTCAAATTTCCAGGATAGTTCTAATTAAATGATTTGTGCTGTTAGTAATCCCCTCCTTGCCCACTTCTTTCTTTTTGGTCTAGTAGATTGCTTTCCCCCAAGCTAGGAAGCTGTTTCTGGGTAAAGTTCATCAATACATCAAGGACCGAGTTCTGGATGCAAAGTATGCTTGTGCCTTCTTATTTAATACCACAGGATCCAAGTCCCTTGATTTTGATGAGGTATTTCTACTGTACTTGATTTCTTTAACCAATTATTATCCATGGTCAAATTAACTGGTACCATACCTGCTGGCTTGATAAAATTCTGAAGTTTTGTTGTCTGTTTTTGTATTTCACTTGGAATGGTAGGAGAAGCAGAACCTTGCTGATATTATTCAGATGCACCAGCAAGCTAGGACACGACAAGTCTCTGTGCAAAGTGATGCAAATGCCTCGGCAGTTTATCCTGAATACATTATCCCCTATTTGGTCCATGCTCTTGCTCATCAATCATGTCCGAATGTAAATGAGTGCAAGGATGTTAAAGCATTTGAACCAATATACAGGTACATATACCATTTTGTTGTCTTAGATGTGCTTTCTTAGGGTATCTGATATGATGTTTCATTAATAAAGGCTACCAAGATTTTATTGAGAAAGCCAGAAAACAGAGAGGGAATAACATTTGTTCCACCCTATTTTTCAGGCAATTATACTTGATCGTTTCTATGTTAGTTCATAAAGATGAAGGCGTCAAGTTAGAAGCTGGTACCGACAAGGAGAAGGAGAAGGAGAAGGAGAAAGACAATGACAAAGACAAAGAGACTAACTCTCTAATAGTTTCCATCTTTCAGAATATTAAGTGCTCGGAAGATGTAGTTGATCGAGAGAAGTCAAAGGTTGGGGAAAAATGCCTGAGTTTGTATTTAGTGTTTACTTTATGCATAATCATGCGGCTTAAACAAAAAACACTATCCACAAGAAAATATAAAAATCAACTTGAAGTTCAACAAAAGCAAAATGCTGATCTTATACTGGTTAATTTTAACATTTACAGAATTCACATGCTATCTCTGAACTTGGGCTGTCAATCATCAAGCGCTTGGTTCAAAAGGAGGATGAAAGCGTGCTTCCATCAGTTTCTTTGCCTCCGATGCTTTACAAAACATATGAATATAAAGAAGGCGAAGAAGCTCTGGTATGCTTTACAAAACTTTGTTGGTGCAGCATCTTAGTGTGACCTTATCCACTTCACTTGGATATTATTTAGTTTAGTATCATCCCTACCAATACTCAATTATCTGCTCTATCAATGCTGCTGTGTGCTTTTTCATAGGCAAATGAAGGGAAAGTGTGGTTGGCTGATGAAAGTGTCTTGACTCACTTTGAATCACTTAAGTTCGAGACTGATGGAAATGTAAGTTCTACTGCTTACAAGTATCTTCAGCTATGCAGTAAATATTTAGCGAGTCTTTGGTGGCATTTGCATCTTTCAGCAACTTATAGCAGTCCTTTTTTATCATATCAGGCTAGTGCACATGCTGCCAGGGATGAGGATGTAAATGACAGTGAAAGAGAAGCTAATGAAGTGCCTCTTGGGAAAATGATCAAGCAATTAAAATCCCAGGGAAATAAAGGTGGAAAAACTAAAAAGAACAGCACTTCATTGGCTAAAGCAAAAGATGCTGAAAATGATGTTGATATCTTGAAGATGGTCAGGGAGATAAATTTGGATAATCTGGGGCTATCTAATAAATTTGAGTCAAGCAATGGACATAAAGAACTAAGTGAGAAGACAAAGTCAGAATCAGAGCATCAAAAAGTGAAAAAAGGAAACATTACTGTGACACCTGTGCCTGTACCCAAACGCCGAAGATCATTATCTGCTCATAGTGCTTCTAGATTGCCCCGAAGTTCTTTAATGGCTCCTTCAAGAGCTTCAGAGGATGATTCAAGCCCTGATTTGAAGGGAAAAAAACTCAAAGCTGAGCGCACTGGATCTGAATTGTTGGTATATAGCATTCAAAAGAAGAAAAATGTCACATCCAAACTTAAAGGCAAAAACTCCGAGTTGGGTGACAATGGCAGGGAAAATGAAGTTGGAGAATCTGATGATGATATTCCAGTGGTAAGCTTTTCTCCTCGCTAGTAAACTTTCAAAGGTACATGCTAATTACTTCTTAGTGGTCATTAATTCTCTGGATATCTTCTTCCTTGTTACTTCTGCTACAGAAGCCTGGGATGCTAATGGAGACTGATAAGATCAATACAACAAATAGTCCTCAGTCTTTGACTAGTTCTATGAAGAAGCGGAAAAGAAGAAGTGTAGCAGGGTTGGCCAAGGTTAGCATGTTCACCTCCATTTTGTTTATAACATCTTGATTTCCCATTAAATGTGGTTATATCATGTATGGAATTGATTTATGTCTTGCAGCTTCTGCATAACATTACAAAAAAAAACTAGAAGCTCTCATTCTTTTACTGTTCACCAAGACAGATTACTGTGGGTTGGAATAGTATAAAAATGAATTTGCCCTTGCTAAAAAAACTAAGCATGCAATTGGGGGTAAGATTGTCTTTTTCATGGGATGCATTTGCCATTGAAAAAATAATTGGGGACAAAATGACCCGATCAGTTTTTTTGCTACAATATAAATACTAATTTGCCCTTTAAGGCATAAAATTTAAGGGTTCTTGTCTTTTTTTTTCCAGAAAAAAAACAAATTGTCAAGTTACGGCCTTGCCCTTAGGAGGGAAAAAATTATACATGTATTGAGGGACTTTTTTGTCTTTTTTTTTAATAGTAAAACTACATAATTACCCTTGGGTTTAAAAAAACTAAGGCTTCATGCAAGGGTGTTTTCGTCCTTTTCATATGGTTTTGTTGTAAATCTCAATTAGGGTAATTGGATATATATATTGCTATTTATATTAAAAAATGACGGTCAGTTGCTTGGCACGCGCCTTTGGGATGGTGCGTGCGGCGCCTAAACAGCACCGAATGCTGCCTTCAAGGGCAACATTCAATGTGCCTCACCACCCCTATCATGGGGCGAGGCATGTGTGCTGAGACAACATGCAGAGGAGTTCGGGATGGTGCGTGCGGCGCCTAAACAGCACTGAATGCTGCCTTCAAGGGCAACGTTCAATGTGCCTCACTACCCCTATCATGGGACGAGGCATGTGTGCCGAGACAACATGCAGAGGAGTTACGGCTAGGGTTTTTTCCTCCCTTCCTCTTTCTCCTCCCTTCTTTTAGAAAACTATATTGGCCATTGCTAAAAAATAAGAAAGTTTGTCTATTTGTTAAGTCAAATTAGATTCTCATTCTTTTGATTACAATGTATTGGGCTTTGAATTATTTATGAAGTTAATTTGTTTTTTCAATTTCATCTCTTCACACTTGATTTTTATATCAAATTTGGTTTTCATTCTTTTATTTGCAATGTATTTAGTCTTGAATAATTTATCAAGTTTTTTTTTTTTTTCAAATTCAACCTTTTACACTTGATTTTTATATTAGATTTAGTACTTATTTTTTTAATTGTGATGTATTTGCTCTTGAATTCTTTATTAAATTAATGTATTTTTTAATTTCATCCCTTAACATTTTTTTTATATCAAATATGGTCCTGATTCTTTTGTTTATTATTTGTATTTTTTCTTATCATTTTCTTAATTGAAATTGTTTTTCAATTTCATCCCTTATGATTTGGTTTTGTTTTATTTTTGTGATAAATTTGGTTCTCTTTCTTTTTAAATCTACTTCTTTTAAATCATATCTTTTTTTTTTCCAAGTTTATCCCTAATTATTTTGGTTGGTTAGAAATTTTATGTTTTTTTTTCGGGTTTGACTTTCATGTTGTGATTTGGCATCATGATCAGTGTCACAAGTTCTAAAGGTTGGGCCTGGTTAGCTTTAATTATCATGATCAGTGTCACAAGTTCTAAAGGTTAGGCCTGGTTAGCTTTAATTATTTTTTTAATATCTCATTCATCATTATTAAGCTCGTTGGAAATTAGTATTCTTTGTTTTGGATTCATTTGTTATTTATTTTTTTTAATTTTTCCCTTCAATTCAAAATTTTTGGTTGCCCTCTTAATTTTTGTTTTTCAAATGAGGTCCTTATTCTTTTAATTGCGATTTCTTTATTCTTCAATTTGTTTTTTTATTTCATCATTTGACATTTTATTTATTGGGATTTGGTCTCCTAGGTTTTTCCCATTGTTTATAGCCCCTAATCAGGAGGAATCAATCTAGGAAAATTATCGGGTCACGAGTCGAGTGGGTTTACTCAAGTTAGTCTCCTAGGTTTTTCCCATTGTTTATAGCCCCTAATCAGGAGGAATCAATCTAGGAAAATTATCGGGTCAGGAGTCGAGTGAGTTTACTCAAGTTAACTTGGATTAATCAAATCCTTTTGTTTTATTAAAAAAATCAAAATTATACCTTTCTGAAAAAAAGAAAAGAAAAATAGTCAACGAGTTTTGACTAGATTTTCCCTAGGTTAACCTAAATATGGGTCAGCCCATGTTTTTGACCGTCTTACACTTAATCAATTCTCCCTTAATTTCTTTTGAAACTCGACCCAGTCTAAGTTGAGGGTCGTGGTTCAACCCGTCGAGTTAAACCAAGTTTTAAAATAGTTGCTTTCTAGATGCGATGCTTTCAATTTAGTCAGTACCTAGGGTCATAGGTTTGAAAAGTTTACACAGGTTGATCTCATCTTCTTTCCCGATTAGATCCTTTGAAGTTGTTCATTTTAAAAAAGAAGCTTTGTTATTTTTTTGTTATTTTTTTCGGTTTTCTTTTCAATCAAGTTATTTCTATTTCATGTTATAGATGAGAGGTTTATCTGGGTGGTCCATGTTTGTTTTGAAGTTGTTTTTTTATTCTTTTTCATTTTGTCCTTGAAAATTTGATTCTTTTTAAAATTAAACTTTTTTTTTTTTGTTTTTCTTTCTATAGGATAATCCTACTTGTGGGTTTTGACAACCTCACTTGGATTTACTGGTGCTTTGTTTTTTAATACTTTTTTTTCTTTGATTCTTTTTTCCTAATTTCATCCTTCTGCATTTTGATTCATGAGGATTGACGATTATTATTTTTTTAGTTCTCTTTCGATGATGTCGGGTCATATATATATATATATTTTTTTTCTGTTCTTTAAAATACATTAACAACACTTGAACATTGTTTTTTTATGTTACAAAAAAATTGATCTGGCTCGTGGCGAAGTGTGGGCTATCTATCTAGTAGTGATGCTAATCTAGTTTTTAGACTTTGGATTGGATACTGTATATAATCCTAAATTTTACTATTATCCTCTAAAAGCCATTGATTGCTGGATGTAATCACCTCTTTTCTGTCTACCTTCTTAGCTATAATAACATTTACTTGCCCAATTAAGTTGTTTTGACCTGTTATTATTAGTCAAATATTCTTCCTGTTTCCTTTAAAATTTACGCCAGAATATGCCGAAAATTACCTTGTTGTAAATTTGCAAGAGTTGGTGCTACATTCGTTCAATTAGGTTATCTTTTTATATATTTTTCTCTGATTTCTTATTCACTCATTATAGAACTGTATAGTTCCCTGCTAACATATTATTATATGCCCTCCCTCAACTTTTATTACTTTTCAGTGCCCAACAAAGAAAAGTGGCATTGATATCGAGGATATTATTGGTTACAGAATAAAAGTTTGGTGGCCCATGGATAAGAAGTGAGTATTTAACATTTCTTATGCCTTCATTTAAAGATACTCCACTTTGCTGTATTTTTTTCTGGGTGGTGGTGTTCAATATGCTGATGCACCATTATGCATACATAGTAAGTGGAGACTTGGGGTTCTGGTAGATATTAAAATTCAATACCTTTCTTGATGTAACCCCAAACTTATACTTGCTAATTGACAGGTTTTATGGAGGCACCATCAAGTCTTATGATCCTTTGAAAAGGAAACATGTGGTATTGTTCATCACTCAATCTTTCTCAAATTTCAGGACTACTTGACCTATTTAATTTATTTCTCATTTGTGCATAATTTTGGTGACCCAATATAGATATTATATGATGATGGAGATATAGAAGTACTCCGTTTGGATAAAGAGCGCTGGGAGCTCGTTGACAATGGCCCCAAGCGCACAAAGGTCCTAGTCTATTCTTCAGCATTCTTTTCTTAAGCTAAATCAACTTTACCTTTTTTAAGAACGCAGTGACTTACTTTTTCCTCTGCACCATTTCAGAAATCAATTTCATTTAAGCGCACCCCTTCCAAGGACATGTAAGTTTACCTTCATTAGTTTGATGTGGTGTTCTGTTTTCTGGCACCTTGATTTTGTTATGGGGTTATCCAATGCTGGTATATTTCTCTACATGTTTGATTTATGAAAAGCCTTTTCCCTTCAACCGTTTCACAGGTCACCAGCACCAAAAAATAGAAGTCCAAGTAGTTTAAGTCAGAATAAGAAGTCAGTGACAATGTGAGTAGGAGATTTTTAATCATTGATATAGTTGCTTGTTTGTTTGTGGTTTTTTTTTTTTTCCATACAAGCACTATAAAATAGATTGATATTTGTTTTCTAGTGTGAAAAAGAAAAGAACTCCAACAAAAAACTCAAAGCGTGTGTATAAAGAGCCGAAGGACAATGTGGATTCTGATGCATCAAGCCCTGAACATGCCGTGGCATCTGAAGGAGATAAACTCAAATTAGGTGAAGTTTTTTCATACTTTTCAAACTGATTTGTTTGTTATATACTATTGCTGCTTAATCTTGCATTGCCAGTATGTAGAGAATTCATTTGTTTTCAGACTGATTATTCATAGTGGTTTCATACACTTTCAGATGATCCTAAAGGGGATCATGCTGAAAAGGTGTCCCAGGGCATGACAGATGGGGAGGAATCTGATAAGGAAGTGGTGTCAATTTCCAAAGGTAAACACTTGGAAGACACAGAGGAAAGGTCAAATAATTCTGAGGAATCTGATGGAGAAGAGAAATCCAATTTTGAAGCTGAAGTTTCTGAAGATATGGAAAGCACACCACAAGATGATAAAAAAGGTGATGACGGAGAGGAATCCCATTCAGAAGAGAAAGAAGTAGATGAATCAAGTGAAGCCTTGGGAGTGAAAGCTAAAAAAGAAAAATCAGATTCTGAAGGGAATCAAGATGTAGACATCAGGAAACCTAGCAGAAAGCCAAAGAAACTTAGTAAGAAATCATCAAATGCTGAAGATGCCGACATCTCTGATGATGAACCTCTTGTACTTGCATCTAACCCTCTCTTTAGTTTATGCATTATAATATTGGAGAAATTCTATGACTCCTAGAGTAGCTGTGAATAGTTACTCTGTGTGTTCCTTTAAGGAGAGAGATAGATACAAGAAGAGAGAGAATCATACAAGAAGAGAGAGAGAGTCACAATCGGTTCCACCAAAAGTGATAAAGAATATTTTCACCTTAGCTCAAAATAATTTAGTTCTCTCTCTCCTTGTTTCTATCTCTATCCTAAAGTGTAACTATAGTTACTCTTGGAGTACAATAAAATTTGTCATGATATTGTGCTATATTAAGATTCTAAGTTCACTCTTGTTAAATGCAGAGCAAGTGGATGCATAAAACAGGGAATACAGCATCAAGACGTTGAAAGTCATTTATCAAAGAATTTGATCAATCTCCAGGTAGTTCTCAAAGCTTTAGATTTCGTGCCCTCGGTTTAGTTGGTGTAAGCTGGTGCAGAATCAAAGAAGTTGAAAGCCATTTATCAATGTAAACACACTAATAAAACATCTCAAGTGGTTGCCTTTGCACAGATGAATGTAAAATAACCTTAGGCCTTCTCCATGCTAAGTTAGTAATGTTAATGTTAGTTCCCAGGACTATGGTAGATGATAGGATGGTGGCTTTTGTTCATTGATTGTAGTCCTAGTGCATGTTTTCTAACCACCTGGATTGCTAAATTGATAGGTCTCTTGTATAGTTACAGTTGGGGATAGTGTTGTATGTCAGGAGGAATTGAGAACCTTTATTTTGATTTTGGGCACCCATGGAAGTGATAGATTAACTGCTTATTTGTCTTGTTGTTTTGTATCAATCTATTCTTCTTGCCATTTCTTCTGTAGCGATATGTTAGTTGTGTGGATGATACACGGCTGCACTGCATTGGCTTCTCTCGTAAACTTTGCTAATGTTATGCAAAGTCTGTTGTGATAATAATGTAAGGCAAGAGTACAGCTGATGCAACTTAGAGCTTAGCTGAAAATGGAAAGGTTTAAAGGAGATGCCACGGACTATATGTGGGCATCTGAGTTGGACTTAAACTTAGTTTGTGGCTTGAATTTCCTCTGCGTGGTAGGTGGTTTTATGACTACATGGGCATCCACAGCTTGGATTTCTCCATTTGTGGGGGCAGTGGTTGTTTGTTCATTGGTCTGTGTCAGGCATCCATGCCTAAAAGTATCAGTGTGACCTAGGCCTGTACTTCTTTCTCGTCCATTCAAAGCATGTGATTGTCCCCAATGCTTTGTTTTATGCTTTTTGAAGATTCAACATCTGCTTGAGCTTCTTTCCAATTTAATGATTGGTCATCGGTTAGTGAAACCCATCGAGTTTCATTCGTTATAAAACTCAATTACATAATAATTTGTAAGCCTTGATATTAGAGTGTATTTCTCTCCGCCGTCAACTGTGTTTGTTTTAAATTGTGATTGGTCAAGAAAGTATTGCTTTCTTGTGTTTTTGGATCCTTAGTAGCATCTGATTTTATTTTTAATTAAAAATTGAGAGAATAATTATATTAATTCATATATATTCTTCACGAAAGCTCAAGGAAGGAAGCATCCCACTTTGTTAAAATCTTAAATTTCTTACCATTTAATTTTAAAATTTCTTCACTTATAATCATATCTTTTAACCTCTTTTTTATTTCATTATTAATCTCTTCAAACTCTAAACATTGGTAATGCTAATAACGAAAATGAAAATGCACGTACGGTCAAAGAACATAAAAAGAAGCAAGGAGGAAAAATAAAGGAATAAGAGAGAAGACTGGTCAAAGGCTCAGATTGCAGACCAAGTAAAAAGCTGTAAGAAGACAAGACATGGTCACAGTCAACGAATCCAATTCCAAAGTGCCAAACTCCTCATCTGGGATCCAGGTGGGCAGTAAATCTTATTATTTAACCACCCGATAATCTCCTTGTCTACCTCTAGTTATAGCAGCAGGTCGACTAGCTGCATTTGTTTCTTTTACGCGGTCTGGTATGATTTACATCCTATAATCTGTTTAATTAATTAATATATTTTATCCAAGTTCAACTATTTTTTTTTAAAAAAGATTTGATAATCAAATCACTATAATTTATAGTTTGTTTTTAAAATGCAATGGTAAAAACTACAACAGAACCCAACACCCACTAACAATCACTCGCAAGTATTGAAGTAATTAAAAAAACGAGTTTTTGACCTGGAAAACAGTTTTGACTAATCTACTTGTGTTTTCAAGGATGCTACGTGGAGACACACGTTCTGTTTTGCTCTTCATTTATCTACCGCAGTTTCTATAAATAGAGCTTCAACACTTTACATTCAGTAGTTTGTTGCAGGGAAGGGAAATAGGATTATTATTATCTCTGTATGGTATTTCTTAGCTGTTTTGCATTAAATTTTCAGTCCTTTTAACCTTTTTAAGTGGTCTCTTTGTAAGGTTTGGTAATCTGTTAAAACCAATTTAATAACCCACCAAACCACACCAAATGCTGCTGCTTTTACATCTTCTTCACCTTTTGTGTTTCTCCTTCTCTGAGATCTTAGACTAAGCTGTTTCTGCTTTTATTTCTCCTCCTTCAGTAGAGGTCAGAGGTCCTTTCTCTCTCTTTTCCTCCGAATGTATTTTTCATGCAATTTTCTTTTTCCTTTTGGATTTTCTTCATTGGAAACTGTCTCACTGCTGCTGTTTTTATCCGGGTTTCTTTCTCTGAGTCAGTTAAGCTTGAAAAATGCTTTCTTTATGCAAATCAACCCAGGTTAAAAAAAATTGAAATTTTTCAGAAAATGGGTTTTGTTCCTGTGAAAAAGTTCCGGTCTTTTCTAATTTAGTGGTTTCATGGGTTATTTTTCTCCTTTTTACTTATTTAAATGCATAGTTTGTTTGATCCTTCATTTTTAAATTTGAACTTTTAGAGATTGTCTTGTCATTGAATTAATTTGGATTCCATTTGTTTTGTGCTTTGCAGTGGTTGGGTCCTTTTGAAGTTGTTGTATTTTTCACAACTTAGCAATGGGGGAGCAGTTAGGATTGCTAAAAGTTACAGTTGTACTAGGGAGAAGATTGGTTATCAGGGATTTCAAGACTAGCGATCCTTATGTAGTACTCAAGCTGGGCAATCAGGTGATTCTAAGCTCTACGATTCTTTTTTCTTTGTAGTAAGTGGTTGTTCTATGTTTGATGATCATAAATGTACTGGTATTGGTTGCTTTGTGGGACACTATTTTGCTGATGTGATAAACTTCTGAAATCTCAAATAAAGAAAGTGTATGGCTTTGCCCTCTGGGCAACTTAATTTATTGTCTTACCAAGTAGATGGATATGGTCATAGGATCCCCAGTCATTACATTGTTGTTGATCTGGTCCCTTTTTGTACTTTTCCCATTTTGTTTCTCCTCTCTGGTCTTTGGTTGAAGTTGGATCAGCCCGTTTTTTCTTGACTGGACTGTTTTCTCCTCTTGAGTTTTTGTTTTTTGTTTTATCAATTTGTCGACTTCGTTAAACTACCTTATTGACTATTTCCTTCCTGCATCAGACAGCAAAGACTAAGGTTATTAATAGTTGTCTTAATCCAGTTTGGAATGAAGAGCTAAGTTTCTCACTCAGAGAACCTGTCGGAGTTCTAAGTTTGGTGAGTTTCTTGAATTCTTATATGTTTATGCTGCTAATACCGTTGTTATGTTCAATTTGCAAAAACGTAGCTCAATCAAATAGGTCCCCTTTGAAGCAATTCAATTTGATCGTTTCTTCCTGGTTAATCTTTGATATGGTTCCATGTGGCCAAAGAATAATGATCCCTAAATATCAAGTTCAAGCTGCAACAAGCAGAAGTCATTCTAAACAGGCTTCCTAGATTCTCACTTAGTCATGCCATTGAGAAAAAATAAAAAACATGGAGTAAGGCCAACAATAATCGATGAGTTTTCTTCTTTTCATTCCTAACCAATAGATTGAACTTTTAGCAGCAGTAAAACTGAGATAGTGTCAATCTGAGAGCTGCATTTTCTCTGGGGATTAATTGCTGATTTATAACTGGTGAAGTAGCATGAGATGCTAATTGGTAATGTTGTGAATAAAACTTGAGATTTCAATAGCATGTGATTAGTTACTTTAACTCATTGCAGGAAGTATTTGATAAAGACCGTTTCAAGGCAGATGACAAGATGGGACATGCTCACCTCAACCTACAACCAATTGCTTCTGCAGCTAGATTGAAGCAGTTTGCAAAGGTTTCTTCAGGCGAGACAATTTTAAGGAAGGTTGTTCCGGATACTGACAATTGTCTTGCTCGTGAAAGCTCAATTAGTTGCATAAATGGTGAAGTGGTGCAGAGTGTTTGGTTGAGGCTCTGTGCAGTTGAGTCCGGGGAGATAGAACTAAAGATCAAGTTAATTGATCCTCCTGTTGCTTCTTCAAAGTAGTGCAAATCTAAGATAGATTGTCATAGGAGTAGGGTTTTGACGACGTCAGGGGATAAGGGAAATGCATCTGTAGTAGACTCTTTCCTTGATATAACCCCTTTAGATCGATGTATCAAATAGATTTTCAATGTAGCATAACCTGAGAGCAAGTACTGAATGTCTTGCCAGGCAAACTGGTTGTTTGATTCGTGTGTTTTGAAATAGTTTTTCAAGTGTGATGAATGCAGTTCAGAAAGGCTTCCGTTTGTGACTTGCATGGATTTTTCTTTAGTTCTTTAACCTTGAGGTGATTGCATTTCCCATTTGATTATTTGTGATCTGGATCTTGGGGAGACATCTGCCACATTTCAGACATAAACCATGTATAGTTGAAATCCCTATACCAAGCAACACCTTTTCTTTTGACTCATAGCCCCAAACCTACACATGGGGCAAGGCACTTGTTCGTTCAACTGCTTGGGACACTTTCTGATCAAGATATGAGAAGTTTTGGGATATTACGTTAACATTAACATTAACAACTCCTGCATGTCCTTCTAAAACTAGGAAGCATGTTGCTGCAAAAACTGATTATTGGGGTACAAGTTTCTAACTACACACGTGAGAGTGAATTGCTTTCTTGAATCTTTCATCCACAAGTGGTCCTTGGAAATGGAAAATAAATAAATAAAGTCTTTTGACCATGATCTTGTTTACAACTAATTATAAATTGCGGTTTAAATTGAGTTGTTCTAAAATAATTTTGTTATAATTTTTTTTATTAAAAATAACTTATTAAATAGATTTTAACTTGATTTAATTTAAAATTTAATCTAAATTTTGTTCCGACCAGCTAGTTACCCACTGACTCACCAACGAAACCAAGTTTAATAACCTCATTGTAAGTTTAATAACACTCATTGTAACTGATGAAGATGCAGAATGGAAAATTTTATTTAATTTTAATTATGACGTAGGTGGTCACATGTTACTGGCAACTCTTAGCTGATAAAAAAAAAGAAGTAGAAGGAAAAGGGTCATCTAAAAATAAAATAAAATGTTCTCAATAAAAAGAGAGTAAAAAAGAAGAAGCAGCTTTTACCATTCAAAACGACCCGATCCATTTGTCCTCTCAACCAGACAACCTTACCGCTACAAAGAATGAAAATGCGTGTTGTTAGCGCTTAAACCGACCCTTGTAGTTTTTCAGTTGCAAAAGATGTACTCCAACAAGTTTAAGAAACCTGAAAACGAAGAGGTCAAAGAAGAAAGTGGAAGGGGTAAACAAAGCATCGATCTTGGAAATGGTAGTGAAGTTATTTACATTCAAAGGTTTATAGGATTTGAGAAATCGTGGGAATTCTTTGATTATCTCAACAAACATATCCCTTGGATTCGACCCACCATTCGTGTCTTCGGTCGGCAATGCCTCCAGGTGAAAAGGGTTTTCTCTTTTTGTTAGTTTTTTTATAAAGTCTCGATTTTTTGTTTTGGATGTAACGGTGATGTCAAGTTACTGAATTTATTAAGTTGGTTTTGTTGAAAAGATCAAAGTTGATTGCTTTGTCCAAATCTTGTATATGTTTCATTGTTATAGAAGATCAGTAGTTGTTTTACATCTATTTCTTAGTACTTTTTAAGATTCAAGAGTTGTTTAAAAGTAATTGCATTGTTGTGTAATGTAGGGTGTGATTCGATTTGTGTTATTGTGAGTTTGGAAATTATGTAGATGAAATCTATGAAAACTATCTTGTGGGTGGCCTTAGGATCGTCGATTTATCAGTTCTATATGAGTTCGGTAATCTAATTTATCATATTTCGGGTGCAAAGAGTGCAATTTGTTTGTGGGGGGGGGGGGTGATTGGAATTTGTTTGTTCTTTCTGATTGGATTTACTTCTCTGCAGCCTAGAGATACATGTTATGTTGCAAGTCCAGGATTGCCAGAATTAGTGTACAGTGGATATAAGCCACATGCCTACTCTTGGGATGATTTCCCTCCAATCAAGGACCTCTTGGATATGGTCAGAATGCTTGAATCGTTTGTTGATTTTAAGGTACTTGTTTACTTCGATGACATCTAATGTTTTTTGCTTGTATCCTGAAGGTCCTTGAAGCTCTTCCTGGGAGTAAATTTAACAGCCTGCTCTTGAATAGGTATAAAGGTGGCAATGACAATGTTGGTTGGCATGCTGATGATGAGAAGCTTTATGGACCTACTCCTGAAATTGCTTCGGTTTCATTTGGATGTGAACGTGAATTCTTGTTGAAGAAGAGACCTATGAAATCATCCCAAGGTACTACTAATCATGTTTTCACCTTTGTTTTTGCTGGTATGTTCAAGGCGTTTTAATTTTCAGGTTAGGTTGGAGGATTGAATGAAAATGTGGAGGATGGATAATGTTCAACCCTTAGGGATATAGAAAATCACCCCTCTATTGAAGAAGAACAAGGATGTAAACTCACAAATTCTAAGGATATAGAAAAATCTCCACCTTAGAAATTGAGTTTGGGATAGCTCACCACTCAATGGAGTCCACTAAAGAGATATAGAACCAAAACACAAGCTTAACCAGCTCAATTTGATTTTACTCAACAACAAATCTCTGCTGTGTGCACTTGATTCATGGGTTACATTTATACACATGACCATGCAATTAAAGACGAAGAAAAATGTTAGCCACATGAAGTTTAAGTGACGCATTACTGGTATGGTAGAAACTTGTTCCTATGCTACAATAATATTTTGACAAACGAGGAAAAGGAAGAATACGTCAGGGTGGCTGGGAGATAGGTTGGCTAATGTAATATAGTAGGATGGCTATGAGATATCTTAGGTTGGCTAAATTATTTGATAGGGTGGCTAAGGATGACATAGCGTTTAGTTTGCTTGACATTCTTGACTTTACATGGATGATTTTTCATCTCCCGAGTTGGTCTGCTCAAATGGTTTTGTTATATTGACTGACGAATTTAATCACTTCAACCATTTGCATCATAGATGCTTGCATCTGCTACCAGCACCTTCTCCATGTGTTAAAAACAACATGTAGTTTCATACAGTTTCTCATGGTTCTTTTATAATTACCAACATTGATTCTATTATTTTGTTTTTGGAATAATTGGGTAGAAAGAAGATTGGATGATGAACCTACGAGCAAGAGACTAAAGAAGAGCAGCCATTTTGATCAGCATTCATTCATATTGAAGCATGGATCGCTATTGGTGATGAAAGGTTACACGCAAAGGGATTGGCTTCACTCAGTGCCTAAGCGTGCAAAAGCAGAGGCTACTCGGATTAACCTTACATTCCGGCATGTTGTTGTCTAACAAGGCCTTGGAAGGAGGATATTTGGTCATTTGGTGCCTGTTGCTTATTATAACCCCTTAGTTCTGAGCTACATTTTGCAATCAAGGAGAGAGGAATCATTGGCTTGTTTTGACGCAAATATAAGCTTATCAGTTACCTGATACCTCTATCATTGGCTTGTTTTGACGCAAATATAAGAGATTCAAGCTTATCAGTTACCTGATACCTCAAAACTAGGAACCAGCTAGTGCTATAAAGTGACCACTTGTTACTGGGCATAGACGTCTAATTTTGACAAGAGATGAATGTATTTTGTAGTATAGTTTCTCTGGCATCGTCCCCTTTTGAATCTAATCATGGATTTCCATTGTATTGCATCATTGATCTAGTCATGTGTGTCTTTTTGATGATTTTTAACATAAATTGACTCCAGATCCTTGACAGCAATTTAATAACTATTGATATAGCACGGCGATTGTGCATTTGATAACTTTTTCCCCTAAAACAAGATTCAAGTCTTTATGTTTATGCTCCAAAACGTAGCACTTCCAAACTTATTATTTAGTCGATCCAGAGAAATATGAATTAACATTGTTTCGATCGATATGAGCCAATCCACTTATCCAATGGATGGAGGGGTATCTATAGTTTGCCCTAATATTACTTTTTTATTTTATTTTTTATTTTTGGAGGGAGAGACGTATTACGCATTCCAAGGTAGAATGGCTAACGTTAAATTAAACAAACGAAACAAATAGTGACGCAAATAGTTCTCGCTGTCTTTCTAAAATCTTTCAAGGAGACTGCTGACCCCTCCCATCATTTTCTCCTGATCCATTTCTCTCGTCTTTCAAGCGAATTCTTTGAACTGCTTCTATGGCTTCTTCAGATTCTATAAAGCCACGAGGTCCTATCTTCTTCTTCTTTTAATTTCATTTATGTATATTTTGTTCAGTTCTTTTTGTTGTTAGTGATAGCTGAATTGTTGTGCTTTTTTCATGTGGGAACAGATGTTTGCATTGTGGGTGTTGCTCGTACACCTATGGGAGGATTTCTTGGTTCTCTTTCTTCTTTCTCCGCTACAAAGCTTGGTTCCATTGCTATTCAATGTAAAAATTTCTCATCTTTTAGTGCTATATGGATCGTTTCTTTGATGTTCAATGATTTCTACACTGATTTCTACCATCAAACTTGGTGTGAATTTTACTTCTGTTATGGTTTGTTAGGTGCTCTTCAAAGGGCAAACATTGATCCATCGCTTGTGCAAGAAGTGTTCTTTGGCAATGTTCTTAGTGCTAATTTAGGACAAGCTCCTGCTAGACAAGCTGCTTTAGGTGCTGGTATTCCTAATTCAGTCATTTGCACTACTATCAATAAAGTTTGTGCTTCTGGGATGAAAGGTAAGATTCTTTACGTGCTAGAGGTTTGGTATTTTTTTTCAGCTTCTGGTGATGAACTGATAATTTGGGAAGATTGTTAGTTTCCATGAGTTTGTTGTTTTATCATGTCCTTTTTTGGTTCTCAGCAACTATGCTTGCAGCACAGACAATACAATTGGGTATCAATGATGTTGTTGTGGCTGGTGGGACGGAAAGCATGTCTAATGCTCCTAAGTATCTAGCAGATGCAAGGTTTGGTTTTGTGTCACTCGTTGGACTTTTGATCATGTTGTTTTGCTGCTTTTGTGATTTTCAATATTCATGGTCTTGTAAGAAGGGTTGTGCTTGTGAATTTAGAGGGTTTCTTATAAATGGTAAGTTTTCATATTTTGATAAGAGGAAAATGGTAAGTTACTAGTGGTGATTGAGCTACTATAGTGCTTTCAATTGTGTTCTGATTGGGGGTGAACTTAGTTAGGTGGGATCAAGTCTGCTTATTTTGTACTCCAAGATCATCTTTTGGAACATCAAGTCTACTGTTTTGATACTTTATATGAAACCAAATCCTCTGTAACATAAAAATTTTGTTTTGTTGAGCAAGCTACATGTCCAATACTTTGCATTGGTTATGTTTGCTGTTTGCTGCTTGGTTGTTGCTATTGGTAATCCAGTCAGTTGTTTATTAATGTTTGTATTTGTCCATGTCTACCTGATGGTTAGAATATCTCGTTATTCATTCTTATCCTATTTTCTAAACAGAAAAGGATCTCGATTAGGACATGATACTATTGTTGATGGCATGATGAAAGATGGGCTGTGGGATGTTTATAATGACTTTGGAATGGGAGTTTGTGGAGAAATATGTGCGGATCGGCATAGTATAACAAGGGATGATCAGGTATACTAGTAGTACAGCATTCTGTATGCTTTAAATTTTTCTGTGTTTTTCACCCTTCAAGTATGCCACTTAATTCCCCTTTTTTCTCATTTGAACCTTTTTATTTGGTGATGTCAGAACTCCTCCCTTGTAACATGTATCCAAACAAACAGTTTTCAAAACGAGAATTTTTATTATGATTTAGTAGATGTATGTTTCACTCTTTGAGTTTGTTAATGTTTTGGCTGTTTCTATCTATGCTTTATTACAGGATTCTTATGCTATTCAAAGTTTTGAGCGTGGGATTGCTGCACAAAATAGTGGTCATTTTTCTTGGGAAGTAGTTCCGGTGTGATTCTTAATTCTGATATGATCTGTCTCAATCTGCTTTCTGTATATGCCAAACATTAATTGATTTGTACTACATGCAGGTTGAAGTTTCTGGGGGAAGAGGGAAGCCATCCACCATTGTTGACAAAGATGATGGATTGGTAAAGGTAAATAGAGTGGTTGCACATCGAGCTTAGATTTTATGCATGTTTTTGTTCTCAATTGAATACCAAAATAGATTCTAGATGGGAGTTTCACATCGAGCTTAAATTTTATGCATGTTTTTGTTCTCAATTGAATACCAAAATAGATTCTAGATGGGAGTTTTCAAGTCAAATTGTTTTTTGTAAGATGAGCCTATTCTCTTTTCAGAATGAAGATATTTGCCTTTATGTGTTTGTAAATTTGATCCCAGCAGTGCTATAGCAATATGTGAAGCACAAACATAAGTGTTTGGCTTTATCTCTTGTTGTGTTGAGCTCATGAAGCCTATCAACTTCAGTTTTTCCAGATATTATAGATAGTTACCTATTGTACCATCCATTTCAATCATTTCCAAAATGAAGATACCTGTTATCATGTTAAAAATTTTGTTTTAAATGAAAAGCCAATTTATTCTGTTTCTCTCCTTTTATGTCTCTTCCTAGTTTGATGCTGCAAAACTTAGGAAGCTTAGACCGAGTTTCAAAGAGAATGGCGGCTCTGTTACTGCTGGCAATGCTTCTAGCATAAGGTTCTCTCTCACGCCCTTGTCCTTGGAGAATTGTTTTAGATCATTGTAGATGCATCAAGATTAGAAGAATTTACCAAGAAAGTTATGAATGCGTCTGGCTTCCTAAACTAGAACTCACCCACGAATGAAATCCTTCGCCTGCTATAACTATAGAGCATCAACTCAAGTGCTAGCTGACTCTTTTCTATGTAATAAAACATTGCTAGCCAAAGCTACTTTTTAGGTTTATATGCCTTTTACCTTCTCAGCAAAATCAATGGTCGCATGTTTTAAGTTCATCAGCCATGCATAATGGAATCAATTATGTACCCATGATCATTTTGGTGTCAAAGCACATCTTTTTTCATTTCATTATTGGTTGGTGCTGTTGTGATTAACAGTGATGGTGCTGCTGCACTGGTGCTAATGAGTGGGGAGAAGGCATTAAAGCTCGGGTTGCAAGTAATTGCAAAGATAAGAGGATATGCTGATGCTGCTCAGGTAGTTTAAAGAATGTTTGTGTTTTCTTGGGCTTGGCTGAGCACAACTTCAAATAACGTAGTGCTGGAATAACATTGTCTTGGCAGGCCCCTGAGTTATTTACAACTGCACCAGCCCTTGCAATACCAAAAGCTATTTCAAACGCTGGTTTGGAGGCTTCTCAGATTGATTTCTATGAAATAAATGAAGCCTTTTCTGTAAGTAGCTATGCCTTCACCTTCATACCACCATTGTCTTATTGAAGTAGCTATTTGCTAGTTCCATGTTGCTGTCTTCTCTGCAGGTTGTGGCTCTTGCCAATCAAAAATTGCTTGGTCTTAATCCTGTGAGTTATAAACTAATTTCACCTTTATTGCTTATTAGTCAGTGCCTTCTAGTTCAAAATTTGGGGGCTATTTTGGATGTTCTATTCAGTTATTCATCATTTATTTTCTTTTTTGCTGAAGTATTGTGATGGTTATGAATGCAGCAAAAAGTTAATGCTCATGGTGGAGCTGTATCTTTGGGACATCCACTAGGATGCAGTGGGGCTCGTATCTTAGTCACGCTGCTAGGGGTAACTTATATAGTGGCTTATTCATATTTGCTCTGGGTTTTTTTTTGCCTTCTTGTGGCCTTTCTGGACACTGTTGTGTATTCTATCTCTCTCTCAACCGGCACTTGTGTATGTTCGGATTTTCTGCAGGCTACAAAGTTAGTCTCTAATTTTCTTCTGTCTAGAGTTTCTTTTTACTTATCTTTCTTTACCTGCCCAGTGCCTGAAACCATTTCGGAGAGGAAGCCAATTGCTTGAATGGGTTGAAGATGCATTAAAATTGATTCCTTTTACATACCTTTTGTTTCGTACATTCAGAATCTAAATTAAGGTGTGCAATTATATTGCAGGTACTAAAACATAAGAATGGGAAGTATGGAGTTGGTGGCATCTGCAATGGGGGAGGAGGGGCATCTGCCCTGGTCCTTGAACTCATGTAAGCCCTCTACATTTGGTAAGGAAAATGAATGTTCTATTCAGTTTCGTGATATCCTTTTGTCTTAGTTCTTGCCTCATTTCAAATTCTAATCAAGTATCTTCAATATAAAGCACCATGAAACACCTTGACCAATTGTTTTGGTTCATCACTGATTCCAGAATGGAAAAGGTGATCCCACCCTCCTAGGGCTTGAATTATTAAGAATTTTCAGTGGTTTACAAGTACACTTTTGCATCTTGTAGGCAAGTTGCAAGGGTTGGACCTTCTTCACTATGACAGGTTTTGTTCATCTCACATCATCATACTGTTGTGCAATTCAGAACTTTTTTTTCCAATGTAACTTCACTTGAATAATGAAAGGTGTA